TCCTTCTACACAATTGGACAGTGCCAAAACTTTTTTACCTCCTTCTAATAACATGCTCAACGAGTTGGTGAAGTTTTGGTGAAATAGGGATATTTGTAAACAAATTTTTATTTGGTTATTACTGTGCTAACCAAGGTTTCTTTTTCTTGTTTTGTTCTTGAAAAACATTATTTATGCATTCTATTTTTTAGATGAACTCAGAGATTTCATGGTTGAACTTAAGCTTTCCCTTTTCCAACTTGGAATCAGTCCTCAGATTGCCGCGTCAATTCTCATGCAGGTCTGCTGTTCTTTTATCCTCAAGTTTACATTTCTTGTCCATTAATTAAGACTATTGTGATTGTCCTCAGAAAACCATGTTCCATCCAAAAACTGAACTTGTAGAGGATTTACTTCTCATTTGATCTTTCAAGAGGATTTGCTAATACTAGATTATTTGATATCACCCTTTTTTTCCCCTTGAGTTAGGATGATTATGCTGTTGATGATGATCAATATGAACAAAAACTGAAGAAAGGGACTTGTGTATTTTTCATCTTGGCAATGTAAGATAGATTTGTAAATTTTCTTATCTGGAAATGCATGACATTTTTTTAACAAATTGAACTTTGTGGAGGTGAGGTGTTTATTTAATCTACATTTGAGTTGGTCACTGTAGTTATGGAGATGGAGAGCCAACTAACAATGCTGCAAGATTCTACAAATGGTTTACTGAGGTGGGTAGTATTGTCATTGTTGAACTAACTTTAGTAGTGCATTGTTTTTAGAAATTTGCGTGAAGAGGTATTGGAAATGTTTTTAGGAAAATGAAAGGGGAGCCTGGCTTCAACAGCTTACATATAGTGTCTTTAGTCTGGGCAACCGTCAATATGAACATTTCAACAAGGTAAATTCGTTATATATTCATATCAACCTATTACTTCTCTTTCTATGATTCTTTCTTTCTTGTTTTTTCTGTCCATTTTTTTTTTATCTATCACTGAGCATATTTTGGAAGATCCTTAGCACACCATAATATTGTTACTTAGCCAAATATACTCAATGACTAGTCACCGGTAATTGTAAATGCAATGTTGTATATTGGAACTTCTTTCTAATTGCCTCAATAATTTTCGTGTGTATGTTAATCAAATCAGGGGCATGACACTGAAACTAATAAAAGTGTAGTGTTGAGAGCTATATCATTTCATCCTTTTGGCTATTATGGAGTTTCAGTCTTTGGAATTTCAAGATGATGCAGTGAAGAACCTAGTGACTAAGTTACACTCTGCTAGAGCTAAGCTTGATTTGGTAACACAAACAAAATTCAAATTTGTTTTGGAGAATAGCAAGGTTCATATATTAAATCCTGATTTCTATAGCTTGAGTGGATGCTCATATATTAAATCAAAATTTGTTTTGGAGGATAGCAAGGTTCATATATTAGTAGTAGTCCCCCCATTCTAATTTCTATAGATACTAAGGGTAGAGTTTTTTTTTTTGTCATTATTATTACTGTTTATTGTTTATTTTTTTTTACTGACCTTTAATTGTTTTGAATTGTCTAAAGAGTTAATGTTGTTGTTCAAAGAGAACTTCACAAACCCGAGTCTGATCGCTCTTGCATACATCTGGAGTTCGATATATTTTTTCCTTTTATTGTTTGGTTGTGTTTGTTGTTTGATTATGATTTACAAAGAATCATCCAATGTTTGCCTAAATTTAGTCAATATATTGAAATAGCAATAAAGTTTTATCCATATTATTGCTATTTTCAGCTTTATTACATGTATGGTTTTTAGTTAAATCTAACAGAATTAGCACAATCTCAAAAAAAAGAAAAAGAAAAAGAAAAAAAGAGCTATAACGGTGTTTTTCCAAAACGTCACCACAGTGCCAACGGTCATATTTTTAAAATAGGAAAAAATCTATCACGGCATTTTTAAAACGTCGCTAAATACTGGATGACGTCATTTTAATGTTATTTACCACATTTAGCAAAACGCCGCCTATAGTAATCTAGCGACATTTTTAAAGCGTCATCATGCTACAGTGACAGTTGCGTCTTCGGTGTTTGGTACTAAACGTCACAAAAAGAATTAGCGGAGTTTTTTTACACCTATAGCAACGTTTTTTAAATGCCACTAAATATAAAAGTTCCAACAGTGAATTATCTTTCTTATTTATCTATTATTCTTATTAAGCCAATTTTATCTCATTTATTTATGCTTGAACTAGCATAATACCCGTATCATACACAGGTATAAATAAATAATAAAAAATAATTTTAAAAATTAAATAATAATATTAAATTTATCTAGAATTTTTAATAAAAATGATTTATAATTTATTAAATTTTATTCATTTTTATCAGAATTAAACATTAGAAAAGTTTTTTTATTCTATTTTTTATTCTTATGGCATTAATTGTGTGTTCTAAATTCTTAATAAAAAAATACATGTAAGCTAATCATTAAAAATTGTCTTGGTCTACGCTCAACTTATGAATCATTTGATTTATTTATTTTTTAAATTGGTAAATAGATATTTGTAAGTATTTTTTATAGTAAAAATAAGAATTGAACATATTTTATGCATATTGACTAAAAATTTTGAACTTAGCTATAAGAAATTCTATATTTATGTTTAAAACTATTAGAATGAATAGTTACATTTATTTATGTATGAAAAAACTATATAAGATAGAATTGCTTTAAAGTGTAAGTCATATCTTAACTCTAATCTTACACTTAATCTAAAAATCGATCTGTTAATTAGTAAAAATATTTGATAATAATATATCTAAAATTTATGTTTAAATTATATCATAGTTTATCAGGTTGTGACCTTTATGAGTTAGTTTGAGGGTTTTAATATTGGATTAAATACTAAAAAGCAATCTAGAAAATCTAATTTGAGTCGGCTTTTTTGCTAACAATTTTTGGTTTAAGCTTAGTCCTTGGAGAATTCTCATAATTTATGCTAACAATTTTTGGTTTAAGCTTAGTCCTTGGAGAATTCTCATAATTTATGTCTAATCCATGAGTTAGTTAGCCCACTTATTTATTTAATTTTTAATTATTAAATATTTTTTATAACAAAAATAGGAAATATGCACATATTTGTTTGGTATATTTATTAACAATTTTAAACTTAAATTAAGAAATTATATAGGTATACTTAAAATATATCTAATATTTATTGTATCAATGTTATTTCACTATAACAAAACTAACTATTTACGACATCATGTTTACGGTATGCATTAAATGTATGTCGTAATTAGTATATTCTACGACATTTTTTTTTTGCAAGCTGTTAATACTTTGTCAGTAATGACATACATACCATGTAAGTTGTTAATTCATATATTTATGGTATGCAAAAGTATGCCGTAAAAAATGTATATTTTTTCGGCTTACAAAAATCTGTCGTAAAATATTTACGCTTAAGATGACATACATTTCATATCATAAAATATTATATAACTTTACACGACATGCATTAGCATGTTGTGAAAACTTTTACTGGAAAAAATTTTAAATCAATTTTTTTTATGGCATGCAAAAGTATGTCGTAAAAAAATATATTTTCACGGCATACGAAAATATGTCGTAAAATAATTGCATTTAAGGCGACATATATTTTATGTCGTAAAATATTATAACTTTATACAGCATGCATTAGCATGTCATGAAAACTTCTATTAAAAAAAATTTCAATTATTGTGTTTGATTTTAATTTTTTAGATTCAATTTTTTGAAAATTGACTTTTTTATTTTTCGTATTTTTTTGTTTTTAGTAAATATTTTTAAAATTTTAAGTAATTTTTTTTTTTACTTTTTTAGATGCACTAACTTAGATGTATCTAAAAACTAAAATATTTGTAAAAAAATATTAAAATTAATAAATACAAAAAAATATGAAAATGTACGGAACTTTAATATTTTTTTTGTATTTTTAGTATTTAGTGATTTTTTTTAAAAAAAAATCACAAATATTATACTTTTTAAGTATATTTATACTAGGTATATCTAAAAATTAAAAAAATTGTTTAAAATATCAAAAAATTTAGTGAAAATAAAAAAATATGAAAAATAAAAAATTTTAATTTTTTAAAAATAAATTTTGAAAAATATAACCAAACAAGCTGAATCCAAATTATTTTTTTTATAAATTTAAAAACAAAAACTAAGGTTGCATTTGGTAGAGTTTTCTAAATATGATTTGAGAATAGAGTTGTATTTTGAGTTTGTGAGTTTTGGAATTATGATTTGAGTGTGAAAAATTTGTTAATTTTGTTTGCTTATGAGTTTTGAAAAAAGTTTTGAATTGAATTTGGAATAATTGATGTGACAAATGATATTTAATTCAAAAACTTACAACTTATAACCAAACACACAACTCAAATTTTTTATTCAAAACTCATAAAAAAAATTTAAAATTCAGAAAATATTTTTTATTGAATATATAAAAATTTACATATGTCAATTGCAAAAAAATAAAACAAAATAAAATAATGTACTGTTCCGGTTAACTGGCCAGACGACCGGTGGGACGTTCGGTGAAACAACTGATTAGCCCAAATTTTTTTACATTGAAATTTTTTTTCAAAAATAAATGTAAAATTAATTTTTAAAAACTATAAATAAATACGATGTACAAATCAAAGTCTGAAACCCCAAACTCTTCCAAACAGAACCTAACAATTTCCAACCAATCCCTCGTTTAACTCCGAGGCAAGACAATCTTCTCCAACGCACAATTCATTTTTTTTAAAAAAGAAAAACTTTTTAGCACATTGGTATAATTATTAGTACCAATTATTAGTATATGAAATGAAAGTCTCTCTCCGGTCAACTGGCCAGACGACCGGTGGGACGTCCGGTGAAACAACTGATTAGTCTAAATTTTTTTACATTGAAATTTTTTTTTAAAAATAAATATAAAATTAATTTTTAAAAATTATAAATAAATACGAGGGACAAATCAAAGTCTGAAACCCCAAAACTCTTCCAAACAGAACCTACCAATTTCCAACCAATCCCTCGTTTAACTCCGAGGCAAGACAATCTTCTCCAAGGCACAATCCATTTTTTTTTTAAAAAGGAAAAACTTTTTAGCACATTGGTATAATTATTAGTACCAATTATTAGTATATGAAATGAAAGTCTCTCTCCTCTTTCATTCATTCAGACTTCTTGTTATGTTAGCTAAGATCGATCAAAACGAACCTCTTCTTTTTCTCTATCGTCATCTCTACGAACCCTAGCTCTTCACTCTCTCTGTGCTTCGATCAAAGCTCACATTTTTAAACTTTGAGTATGGCTTCCGGATCATCGGGTCGTAACAACTCTGCTTCGAAAGGGTTTGATTTCGCCACCACCGATGACATTGTTTCCTCGCATGAGGACTACGACAATGAGGATAATTATAATGGAACGCACTCTGATTCCGTGATCGGATCCAATTCTGCTAAGGTATTGTTCTCATATGCTCGCTATTTATTAGTTTGATTTTGAGTCGAAATTGTATTGTGTGATTGGTAATTTAGGGTTTTTGGATTTTGATTTGGATTAGTGAAATTATACTTTCTGTTTCATTTACTTGAATGGAGAAAACTCTTGTTGAATAACAATTAACATGGTACATCGTGGCAGAATTGGATCTGATCGCGAAGTCGGAGTGACTTCCATCAGAATTATCTTGATTTGTGACGGAAGATAGTATATGCCAGATTTCTGTTCATGGGGTTTGTTGTTCTAATATTTGTAGAGATGAAATCTTTAGTCTAACAGCAATTTTTTTAGAACACAACCAAATTCATTAATTGTTCAATGAAAATTTTGAATTTGCTATTTTTTTAGCAATCCTAAGGTAAATAGGCTTATATGTTTATTTCTTTCAAATTACCTTATTTAAACGGTTGCTTTTGAGAAAATATGATCCCAATGAACAAGAAAACAATCTGATCTGTGTCCAAAACAATCTGATATGATAAACAATATACAGAAATGCAATAATCAACTTAAAACTTGTGGTAAATAGTATCATATGTTTGTGGTTCAAAATTTGTCACTTTCTGTAGTAACATGAAAAATATATGCTATAATTCATGCTTATGTTTATGCATACGAATTAGTTGATGTGGTTTATTTCCCCTTAAATCTAAGCGTGTGTTAGGTTTCTTTGGTCTTTGTTACTAATATGTCTAAATTTATCACAACATTTTGGGTTTTAATTTGCCTATGACCTGTATATGCATGTCGTATATGTGATTAGCTTTGAAGAGCAATGCAGTGGTCCAGAGAACAATGCAATGACGATAGATATAGGAACACGGAGTTATCAGGTCTATGTTCTACTCATGTTTACAAGCTTTGCTTTTTTGTCTTTATATTTTGTTTAGAGAGTCAACTAGTAGTGCTGTTATTGATGTCACTCAGGTTGCCTTGTGAAATATCTAGACTTGTGAACCTGTCAACCTGTAGGGAGGTTGGAAGTTGGATGATGATTCATGATTTAGGCTTCTGTGCCCTGATTTTGCTTTGCTTGAGGTGTTGAACGGTGGTCATATATATATTCAAAAAAAAAAAAATTCCAGTTGTTTATGGATAAATTTTACAGGACCCATGTTAGTGGACTATACTTGGATAAATTCTAATTTCTTCAAACAGTTTTTAATAATGTATTAACATCTAAGTGGATAATATACTATTAGTTTAATAATTTTCATTTCCTTTGCGTCCTCTCTTTATTTGGTTGTTGTCTTCACCCTTTTTGATGTGGCGTATTTATTGCATCTGATTGTTTGAACACCCATAACTGGCTCAATTGATATTGTGTAGCAGCTTTTGGGAAGTGCTTGCGTGGATTGAGTGCTCTTAATATTGATGCACTTGGGCATTCCATTTGATTGAACATTGGGTTTTGTATTTTACTTTCAATATTCCTTTATATTTCCGTTGTGCAGTTTATATTGTTGTAATGGATTAGGGTGTTTTTGTTTCAATTTTCATCAGGGAGATAATGTACCCCCTCCTTTAACATTATTTGAAGCTACTGGTTTTCCTTAGTTGGTATTAATTCTTCATTTTAACATTGCATTTTTAATTTATAGTCACGTTTTTACATTCGAGAACCAAATGAAAGCCTTTATATTCTCTCTCATTTATTATTGTTGATTTGAAACATTTAAAGTATGGAGAACTTCATGTGATTTCAAGTCTTGCTACACTTAGGGTAATATTGTTCCTAGTTTTATTTTTTCTACTTTAACCAAATAAGTGAGATTTGAAAAGTAACCTGTTATTTAGGAAATTAATTAATGTCCTTTGAATACCAGGGAAAATGAGCAGCTATCCAAGTATGGTGACACTAAAACAGCTCGTAGCATAATGTTGATAGAGCTTAAAATACTTATAGAAGCAAATCCTCTTTTCCGCGAAAAGCTTGTTTTCCCTACTTTAAAGTCATCAAGATTGTGGACTCTGATCAATCAAAGGTAATGTTGGTTTCGTAATGTATGAGTAAGCAAATTACGATTATTTGATAATTTATTTATTGTGCTTTTATATGTCAGTTATATTAATTATTCATTTACATTGGAGTCAATTTTCTTTTTTCTTTTTTGATGCATCCGTCTTCCTGTTGGCTACCCTATTGAGGTGGCTATTTTGAGTCCACTTAATTGCTACCCAACTGTTTTCACGTGTAAATTCTTAAAAATCTAATCTACTTTTCTTTACAACAGTGGTGATATTTTCTCAGTTGGTGGGTTGATATCTTTTTACTTGCCATTTGTTTACAGATCTTTCAGCATACTCATTTCTTGTGTGTTTTTGGACAATAAATTCATTTCCATGCATTTATTTTGTGCTTATTTATGCCTGCGCTCAGTAAATTCCTGGACGCTCAATGTTTATTTTTCTTGTCATTCTTACAGATACTACTATAGAATTGTGATGTTCATCAGGTATGTTTGATATCTGAATCTGATTTTGTTGTCTATCCAGTCTGAATTGGTAGCACCAACTTTGTAAAAATCCTAGGCCAAATCCAGACATAAAGACTTTGTTCATGGACCATACTTGCACACCTCCAAATGGGGTTCTTGCACCTACTTCTGTTTCTCTTCCACCTGTTGAAGTTGCGAAGCCTACTGCTTATCTATCACTTGGAGCACATGGTGTACGATACCATTTGTCTTAGAAGTTTAATTTCTTCTCCTCTTCTTTCTAATTACATACATCTTTTTAGTAGTTTTACTGATGAATATCTTGTTTTTATTTGTTGTGTGTAGCCCTTTCTGCCTGCTGCAGCAACTGCTAATGCTAATGCCTTAGCAAGTTGGATGGTGAATGCTACTGCTTCTTCATCCGTTCATGCGGCTGTTGTTACTGCATCTTCCTTACCTGTTCCACCAAGTCAAGGTTAGAGTTTTACTTCAACTGGACTTGGCACTAAAGTACTCGTCTTATTTTGGAAAATTTTATTTTACCTGAAAAAAGAGGTTACTTTTGTGGAAATTTGCTTATACGAATTTTTCTCATAAGCCTCTTTATGCAACATTTGCGGAAAAAAGTGTCATTTGTAAATGATTTTTAATTGTTAAGAACTACAATTTTTTACTTATTGTTAATTTCTTTCTCACTTTTTTTTTTTTTTTTTGGGGGGGGGGGGGGGGGTTTTGTTGGGGATGGGTGGGAGGTGTTAAGATGTCTTGATATCCATTACGATGGTTTCCTAATCATGGAGGCAACCTGAATATTCCCATGGAAAGAACTATTGAGAAGCTTATAATTTATTGTTTGCACCATATGGGAATATTTAGATGCTATGTAACATTTGCAAAAAGCAGTGCAATCTCTTAACAGCTTTTAACTGTTAAGACCTACATTTTTTACTCACTGTTAATTTTATTTCTTTCTCAGTTTTTTCTTTCCTTTTTTTGGGTGGGATGGGAGGTTTTAAGAGTTTTTTGATATTCATTATTTTGGTTTTCTAATCATAGAGGCAACCTAAATACTCCCATCCCATGGAAAAGAACTATTGAGACGCTTATAATTTCTTGCTTGCATCTTATAGGAATATTGTAGATGCTATGCTGGTGGACTGTTTGGTGTGTACTTTGCTCTGCTGCAACAGGTGGCAGCATAGGAGATATTCACTTGATAGCATGACCTTTCATCCTCTATATTTGATCCTTGCTGTCAACTTTTGCTTATGCGTATCTTAGTGACTATTTTTTTTGAAGTGATTCACTTATTCTTTTGGACAGGTTCAATCTTGAAACGTCCAATAACACCACTAGCCACTCTGGTTATGGTTGATTATCAGAGCACTGATCATGAACAATTAATGAAATGTCTGCGACCAGCACAATCCGTTGAAGAGGTAATATTGAAGGGTTACTGTCCTTATATGCTTTTGTTTGTGATGCGTATTTGTCGTTGTGCTAACTATTTCCCAGGCGTTCCACTTACTAATGAATTCGTTTCTAATGGTGCTCTTTTAAATAGTTGGTTCTGCTACTGGTGAAATAACACTCTGGGAAGTGGGGATGCGAGATAAATTGGTTTCAAAGCCATTCAAGATATGGGACATCACAAATTGTTCTATGCCGCTTTAGGTTCCTTTTCATCTCTTTGTGCTGCTTCATTTTTATTACTTTCCTTTTCTTTAAAAAAAAAAAAAAAAAAAAAAAAAAATCATTCAAAAAAAAAACCTTGTTGCTTGTTATCTTAGCGTTCTATGATGTGATATATACCTATGATATGAGATATTTATGTAGGTTGTAAACAGCATGTATAAATTAATTGTGACCAGATTTTTTCTTGCTTGATTTGGGGACATTTATAATACTAATCTTCAACTAGCTGTTGTCAAATATTAATTTTTTTTTTTTAAAATTCCCATTTGGGATGTTGCGATCAAAGGGATAATTTGGAAAAAGAAGTCTCCAATTGATGCTAACATGCAGGAACCTTGATCTTCGTGTGTTGGACATTCATAATACGAATCTTCTGTAGGTTGTTGAGTTTGCCCTGGCTTTGTAGGAAGTTGGGTGCTTTTATGTTGTTCTGAAATGTGTGCTTGCACTTGGTGGTGGTGGTGGTACTGCTGTAACATCTGTTCTTCGAATCCCTACCATTGGTATTGGGCCAGGGACATTCTGTAGTGGCCAAGTTAATTGATTCTTTAGCTTTCTATAGTACTCCTAATAATGAATTAGACTTGACTGGCTTGTGTTGTGTATAATCTTTTTACTTTCATTTGTACATATAATTTGCTATTTGACCTTGTAATTTACTTTTCAAGTACAAAAATGGACATTTTAATGATATCGTGTGTTCATATATTGAGTTTACTCATATAATAAACTTTGAGTTTGCTCTCTCTCTCTCTCTATATATATATATATATGTACATTAAAAATAACCTTCTACGGCATATAAAATTATGTCATGAAAAGTGTAATGATTTATGGCATGTAATAAAATGTTGTAAAAGATTATATGCGGCATACAAAGTATGTCATAAATATATTTAAAATGACCTTCTACGACATGCAAAATTATGTCGTGAAAAGTGATGATTTATGATATGTAAGAAAATGTCGTAAAATATTATATACGGCATACAAAGTATGTCATAAATATATTAAAAATAACCTTTTACGGCATGCAAAATTATGCTATGAAAAGTATGATGATTTATGGCATGACAAAAATGTCGTAAAAAATTATATATGACATACAAAATGTTTTTACAACTTTACCTGCATGCCGTAAATGATGCTTAACTTTTCACGGCACGTCATATAACGGTATTTGTGTGCATGCCATGAAGGAGTTTTTACGACATACATTGCAAGTCATAAAAGTTCAATTTTGTTGTAGTGTTTACATCTAAAAAATTCTTTAACACCAAATCAGTGTAGAAGCTGAACAAAAAATTGAAAGCAAGTAACAAGGATAAATACATGTAATCACAATTATTTTAATTTTAGATAGTTATAAAAGGTACTCAAAATTATATTAAAAAAAACAATTCAACTTTTATATGGTAAAATCTACCTTTTGAATAAATTTCAACCACATTACTTTTTTAAATCAATTCATCACTCAAATTATTTGCTATTTTTTTTTTAAAAATAATACTCACTTTTTCAAAAGCCAAGAAAGTAATATTCTGATCGAGCTCATCATCATCCTTATTATTACCATATTTACCATCTCTATTAACCACTATGCAACTCCATTCTAGTTTTTGATCTATGAAAATATAAAAAGACGATGTTGGGAAAATATAAAAGTACGGTTATAATTATAAAGAGTTAAAAATAGAGAATGGAAAAAGGCATGATTTTAGTTTTTCGTTGATGAAGTCTCGAAATTGAGAAAGATAAAGTTGTTATTGATGCTCGCTGGAGTTCTTCAAAGCTCTAATACCATGAAAAAGAAATAGATACTGATACTAATCTTTTTTTTTTTTTGATCAGTAAAAAAACTTTATTGATGAAAAAGTATAATACATGCAAAATTACATCAACAAAGTAGGGAAGTGCAGAAAATATCATAACTAACCTTAACGATCCCAACTAGGTTGGCATTGTAAAGAAAGTACAATCATATGCTAGCACTTAATTCAAGATTGGTGGGAAACCAATCAAAAACATCCAAAGAAGAACCGAACAACAAAATGAGCACAACAACAAAAAGGTACATCAATCAGCAGTAGCATGAGATCAGTGAGTAATAAGGCCTGTGCAGACAATCTATCAGTGAAACTTCATTCAAATCAACAACCACAGCAAAACCACAAATAACCCTCCATTCAGTAATCAGCAGAGTAGTAACAGGTAATAACAACTGGTGATGACAAATAGTTTGTAAGAGGGACTAATTTGAGCCCACTAAATTATTTAGGTCCAATAGCCCAAGATTAGTGGACCCGAATTTATCGCAAGTCCAAGATTGGTGGGCCCGGATTAATCTCCATCAAACGGACTGAATCGTTCTAAGCCTCGAAAGGGTTCGGATCTACGAACTTAGAGACTTACTCGGGCTCGGACTCGAAAGGGTATTGAGCAAGCCTAGAGATCCGAGGCACTCGGACTCGAAAGGGTTCGGATCCATGAACCTAGAGATCCGAAGCACTTGGCTTCGAACGGATTCAGACGCAATCTAGAAGCCGCTCCATTAATGAGTCCCAGAACACTTGCGGGCTCGGAGCTTTCCGAGATCTACGCACCAGAACCATAGGCGTAATGGAGTTCGAACAAAGGGCCTGATCCCGAGGACGGTGAGTGAAGATAAATTCACTTTTCGGTTAAACTAGCCTATACCCAGGTCGATGTGGCACGATCTAGGGGGTCCTTGAGACTCGGCAATATTTGCGGCATGGCGTTCTCTTGAACTACCCCTGACCCTTATACGGCAGGACGTCCTCTGGGACTACCCCTGACCCTTTGGGATGATTGGGGATCATTGGTTAGGTGTGGCTAAGAAAAAGGGTTCGCCGAGAGGTTGATCTCCTCTTCGGGGTTTTCCTCATCCTTGGAGAGGTCACCTCGTCGGACAAGGTGGTTAGAGAGAATATTCCCCATGTGCCTTGCACATGGGCTCCGTCCTACATCATGAGGTGCCTATAAATAGCACCCACCCATAACTTTACAAGGGATGGATTTTGGAGAGATGACTCTTGGGAAAGAACTAATTTCCCATCTCCATTGTCAACCTTGAGAGTGAAAGTGGGAGATCCATGAGAGAGCCTTGCCATTATTCTCTCTCTAACTACTTTGCCTTTTTCTTCACCCAATTTCTTATCTCCATCATCTCCTTTACTCTTGTGTTCTTAAGTTGAGACTATTGAAGAATCTAAGCCTCTCATAATCTTCTAGAGAATTCAAAGTTGTTCTTCAAGGATCTTCGAAGATCTTCAAATTTTTCAACCACTTTCCTGAACCCTCTCATACATTTGGCGACTCTGCTGGGGAGGCGGATTGGTTAATGGTCTCAACGAGATCTGGAGCCTACACAACTTCGGCAAAAATGGCAAACAATGAGACTCATCAACAAGGCTCTTCCAATGGTGGTGATGAGAAGACTCAAGTTCAAGACTCACCTCTTATCCTTGAAGCTATTCAAGGACTTCAACATACTTAACAAGAGATTCTCACGACCTTTCAAAATCTCACCCACACCATGTTGGTGATGGGCTCGAATTTCGCACCACCAGCAACAAATGGAGGTCAAGTCGGCACTGACAAGCATCAACAATTTCATGGTAATGTTGGAAATGGTCAATACCATCAAGATCTACCCCAAATTATCCCTGAAGTTGTACAAAATGGTGTGCAAAATCAAGTGCTAGGAGAAACAAGTCATGGCCAACCTGTGGTCCATGGAGCGCAAAATCACGCACCTGGAGGATCGAGCCATGGTCCATCGGTGGTTGGAGGAGTTTCCGGCGTGATGAATGATGTTCCAGCGAATGTGGAAGTTCAAGGAAGGCCTACAGAGATTTCTCTACAAAAGGGTGCTCCATCTATGCCTAATTTTGTTCCACCGATTGTAAATTCTACTCATGTACCAAGTGGGTCTCCTTTGGCTCCGACGCCAAGTTTGCAAGTCCAACCTAGTATAGCCGTGGCGTGTAATAAACTTTATGGGACCCAATACAACGTCCCATCACCAAATGGCATATTTATTGGTGTCGATGGCCAATATCGTCATGCGTTTTCACTGATGATGAATTCTTAGCACCCAAATGGCCAAGTTGCTCCAAGTTCAGTCCTCGGGTCTACAAGCCAAGTTCTGGGAATACCACCATCAAGTTCTCTCCCTTAACAATTTCTCACTCTTGCCGATGTGCAAGCCATGTTCGATCTCGAACGGGGCAAGAGGACTTTACCCTCTTTGCCTGATCCGGATGTCAAGCCGCCATACCCTATCGAGATATTGAGTTATCCATACCCGGAGGGGTACACGGTGCCGAAGTTCATCAAATTTGATGGCAAACAAGGAAATGCTCGAGAACATGTTGTGCGGTTCATCGAGACTTTGGGTATTCATGGTTCAAACCACGTCCTCCAGCTGAGAGAATTCTCTAAGTCCCTCACAGACCGAGCATATAGTTGGTACGTTAACTTAACCCCAAACTCTATTCGGAGTTAGGAGGAGATGGTCAACAAATTCCACATCAAATTTTTTCAATCGGCTGAGAAGGTAACCGCACTTACCCTATGTAAGGAAAAGCAGCTGGAAGGTGAAGACATTCTCGAATATGTGAAGAGGTTTCAAGACAAAGCCGTAAACTGTCATGAGGCTGTGGAGGAAAGCTACTTGGTCCAAATTTGTGTTGAAGGGGCATTGAACGGATACAAGATGCTTCTTGTTAATCACAAGCTACCCACGTTCTTGGCACTAATTGAAGCATCTTGGAACATCAACATACCTCAATCTCAGGAGATCAGGTTCGAGACTAGTTATAAAACCAGCTTCAAGTCATCCCGAGGACCTTCTGTCACTGCGGCTTCCGCGTCTTCTACCCGAAAGTCGCAAGGGGAGGAATTCAGAGGTCAGAAGAGGAAATACTGCAAAGATGACAATCTTTTTCCGTGTAGTGTTGAGGAGGTGAAGGCCTTAGTTAAAGAATGGGTGGTAGACGAAGAATTGAAGTTGCCTTATATCGAAGAGCTTTTGCCAAAGAAGGACCGCGAGAGTCCTAATTATTGTGTTTTCCACCGATCACTAGGACATCCTACAGAAAAGTGCCGGATGCTTAAGAAGATCTTTAGAAAGAAATTCGAAGCACATGAGATAGAGTTCAGAGAACAGGAGCCCCAGGATATCTTAGAAGACATGGCTATGATGGTGCATGATGGCCACAACCCAA